TCCCTCCCTCCCTCTCTTTCCCTCTCTCTCCCAATCTGATATTTCTTATTAGGAAATTATTTAATTTAAAAAAGTACCTCCTGGGAAGGAAGTTCACTCTCCGTATCTGCTGACACTGTTCATTTAAAATAAGAGGACAACTATATAGCAATGTTTTTGCTAAGGTTGTAGATTTATTTCATAATTTAAAAATGTTCCTATATTTCTAGTTAGCTCTGTGAGCTGATTGCCGTAAAACTACAAGGGGGAGAAGTCCGTGCCAGGTCCCTACTTCATTACCTATCCCAAAAAGCTGCTCTCAGCTTCCACACTCAGTGTGCAATTCGTAAAATAAGGTCAGAAGCCTCTCTAAATAAATGGGCAGCAGTGCTGCTACCACTAATAAGAAGAATCACTTTAAATGGCCAGTTGTGGGACTAGGAGGGACAAAGCAGCACTTCACTGTACCTGATCTTGCCAAAAGGATTTGCTACACCCCCCCCCCACACACAAACAGACACAAACACACACTTATCCATTGTGCTATTTCCTTTTGGGGAACCAGAATTATGCAAAGCAAAGAAAACAGTAAAAAAATAATACAGGGAGGGACGGAGGGAAAAATCCAACGTTTCTAACATCACCATACATTTATACATTTATCATTAAATAACCAAGGAGACATCATTTATACTTGTCTCAGTTCCATTTATTGTTTTGACCATTTTGTGTTTTTTTGTTGATTGATTGATTTGTTTATTTATCTATTTCTCAAGGCAGTGAACATACCTCCTCCTATTCCACAACAACCCTGTGAGGTGAGTTGGGCTGAGACAGAATGAATGGCCAACTGTCACACAGGAAGCCACAGGCAGGACTAGAACGCATAGTCTCCCTGTTTCTAGCATGGTGTCTTAATCACAAAACTAAACTTGTTCCTTCGTATGCTTTACTTCCTCTAAATTGATACCCCCATTCAGCAAGAATCCCCCAACTCTAGATTTATACAAAATAATAGTTCGACCTTACTCAGTTTGCTGTTTTCAAACCCAATAAATTACATTCATGGACTTCTTAATGTCCTGATGAAGAATCTAAACATTTGGTCTGCATCTGCCTTACATAAACCCACACTACCTTTCCCAAATTTTGCTCACTGTCATATTTCTTATCCTTTTAGATACGTTTAGTTCTCCAAAACATTTTCCCAGACCCATTTGTCAAAAAATCTGTTTGTAGTTCTAGCATTCACTCTTGCTATCTTTCCTTTGTGCACAGTTAATCCATAAGCAAATCATATCAATATTTAACATTTCTCTACTTACATCATTGTACCTATGATTTATTATTTTTCAACATTCACAGATCATTTATTATGTTGTTATTCAATTAAGTTTCCAGGTAATTTGCAAATATAAAATAAAACAAAAGCCACAAAACATAAAACACAGAAACACACTACCAAACCTAGACCACCAAGAAAAATCCCAGCCCAAACAGCAAACTAATATCACTATTAAAATTCATAAAGTTGCCTGAAAAGGATAATTTTAATGGTTTTAAAGATGATCAAAAGTGAAGAGGACAGATGAACCTCTAGGGATAGCACCTTCCATGTATTAGGAGCTTTTCTTTAGTTTATATCCACCCCACCTCTCATGGGGCATGGACTCTAAGCATGGATTTAAAATCATTTCAAAAGATGGGCTGATACTATTTGGAGAATAGTTCTTATCATTGCTTCAAACATCTCTTCACTTACTTTATTTCAGCTCTTCACTAAGAATCCCTTTTCAACTGGGATCAGCAACTAGGAAGTGGCCAGCACCTAAATAATCTTACTATTCTAAAAGATCCCTCAGAAAACCTTCTGATCTATCATGGCAAATATTCATTCTTGTAGAGTCCAGGTTGCCTGCCAATCACAGCATGAACAAACACGATTCAGTGATAGTAATCAGCTGATAGCAATGTCCTCCATTCTCAAGTGTTCTTCTAGTTCTAACATGTGATTCACCTTGAGAGCTGTCACTCTCTGGTGACATCTCGGCCTGCTGAGGACTGTCGCAAGAGTTGGGTATTTCTGCAAACGGGTGGGGGCTGGATCGTTGATCCAAAGTCTTTCTGGCTGCCGTCCTCTGGACCTTGTCAAATTCCCTGTCTAAGGCCGTTTGGTGCCGGCTTTCCATCCGTTGTATGGCCTTGGGGGCCTTTGAAGAGTGCCCTCTGGATCTAGGCTCTAGGGCTGCCCATTTCCGTGCAGGCCTCGATACCAAGGTTCCTGCTGAGCCCCTCTCCTGTGGGGACGGAATCTGAGAGGTTTCATTCACCAAGGCTAAGTCCCCTGGAATGGTGGGTGCCAATATGCGAGCGCAACATGGTAATGGCCCACTGGAAACAGCTCCTGACACCCCTTTGCCATTGAGATGATCTGAGAGGCAGTGGATCAGCTTATGGGCTGAGGCAGGGTCCATGCAGCATAAGCACTCACCTGGCTCCATGCTGCTGCGAAATGGGGCTTGTCACTGTTTCAAAACGGCACCCACTATTTTCGTGCCTCTTCAAAATTGCATCCATCAACCTATTGACTCCAAAATGGTGGCCAAAAAACATTGGAGGCCTGGGGCTGAGGCTGCGGAGTGAAAGCTTGTGAGCAATGCCCCTGGACCTCATTGGGATCGCACTCTGTGGCTGGGATCCAAAGGTCAGTGTTCCGGAGCATGCGTGTGGGTGCTGCCCTTCGGTGGCTGCAGTCCAAACAGTTGCTCGCGTTTCCCAGCGAAAAAGGGGTTAAGCCCTAATTGCTGGAATAGAATGCTGTTTCGACTTGGTGTCAAAGGGGAGCAGGCTTCAAAGTTGTTGTAGAGAAAGTCTTGGGTTTTTTGTTTTTTTTAATTGAAGCAGGATAGACACTAGTCCTAGGATAGACTGATAAAAGCTGGGAGGAGCTACCAGAGGAGGCGTGTCATCACAGATTGTAGACTCAGTCCGATTGGATACTAGACAGAATTAACCCCATTCCTGGATGCTATCTCCACCAACTATAGAGAATTATTCTATTTCAATTTTTTCTCAACAATACTCTCCCACAATTTTGTTGAAATAGAATTTCCATTATACCTAGCTATTATAGCCAACTGTTATGCTGGCTAGGATTTATGGATACTGCAATGCAACAACTGTGGAAGATACCAGGTGGATAACATTGTGTTAAACAATTAGAAGAGAAAACCTTGGTGAATACATCAGCAATTTTTTTGCCTCACTAATCTTTCAGAATTCTTTCTCTATCTTAAGAAATATATGGATTGGATATGTCATCTAGCAGTCATCAGAAATTGGAAGCAGAAAGAATGTACAGAGCAGTTAAATTAGTCAAATATGCAAATAACTCTGCAATTATTTAGGATGGTAAAATTTAAATATGAATGCAAATTCTTCTACCAAGATGCCATCCAAAGGGGTGGGTAGCAAACAAAATAACAAATAATATAGATATGGTGCTCTAGTATCTTAAAGGCTAACAGTATTTTACCTCAACCATGATAAACTAACAACAAGTGTGTATTGCAATATCTGCAAGAAATCCCATTTGCCTGGTGAGTCCCAAAATAGACAAAGCAATAGAAAATGAAGATTGCTCTGGGACTTGAAACAGAATTGAAGCAGACAAACACTTGCCACATAAAACCCCAGACTTAACAATTGTCTATAAGAAATACAAAAAAAAAAATCTGGATAGTGGAGGTTGGAGTACCTGGAGAGAACAGAATAGAACACAAAGAACTGGAGAAAATCACAAAATACAAAGACCTGCAAAAATAGAAGTAGAATGACTGTGACAAAAGAAAACATAGATAGTATCCATAGTGGAAGGCATCTTGGACGCAATACCAAAAAATCTGGAGCACCACTTGAGCGCTATTGGCATTGACAAAATCACCATCAGTCAATTGGAAAAGGCAGATTTATTTGAAACAATGTATATCCTGTGACACTATCTTTACCACAACCAAACAACATAATCAGAATTGCAGAGAAAACAATTACTGCCAACCTTCCTTCTTCCATTGAGGACCTGTACACTGCAAAAAGAGGGTCATGAAAATATTTACAGATCCTTCGCATCCTGGACATAAATTGTTTCAACTCCTACCCTCAAAACAACGCTATAGAGCACTACACACCAAGACAATTAGACACAATAACAGTTTTTTCTCGAATGCCATCACTCTGCTAAACAAATAATTCCCTCATCACTATCAAATTATTCACTAAGGCTGCATTACTACCCTATTTCCTTGAAAATAAGGCAGGGTCTTATTTTCTTTTGACCCCCGAAATAAGCACTTGGCCTTATTTTCGGGAAGGTCTTATTATTTTTGAGGTGCAGGAGGCAGCGAGCATGGTCACCTCATGGNCTGCTGATCTAGCAGTAGCCTGCAGTGCTGCATTTAACCACTGCGCCACCTTGGCTCTTGAACAAAAATATAGATTAGAAAATAAGGGACCACATAAGGGGTAACCTGGCATGACATCAGGATCTCAATATCATAATGCCTAAATAGGGGAGAAAAAGAAACTAAATGCTCTTCTGGGATGTTAGTATTAAATTCTCAATGCAGCACAGACTCAAATATTTTAGAGACTTATGAAGAAGTGATGGTTGGTACAAACATGAAGGACACTAAGTAGGGCATGTGTGATTGCCATCTGTGCTTAACATTACTATTCTAAAAAAACCTTTCCCAATCATAAAACAACTCTATCCTTCTGTATTTAGCTTCTTGTCTCTTCTTTGATTACCCACATCAAAGATGGGATCCAAAATAGGAGACCCACACAGGAAACTGGATTTCATTAGCTGACAGCCACACATCTTGGGAATTATATCAGAGCAAACGCATAGTAGTCTTCCAATCGTAATGCACAAAGAGGGTCAGCGGGAATATAGGAGGGGGGAAAAGGACTTGTTCTTACCTATCCCACTGTGAGGCCTTCCTATGTGCTGTAGATTCAGTCCTTTGTTCATATCTAACAGCCCATTCTTTGGCCAGCTCCCCATGGCAAAGCTGTATGCCTAGAAAAGAATGAAGATGCTTTAACAGGATAGTACAGCAAGACATTGACTCAATACCATCAAAATACTTGATTCAGCCATTCTTCAGCATTGTGAACTCCAAATATTTGGGTCATTTTTTTGGAAGTCTACATCTCTCTTTTCAGTATTTTATTTTGAGTAGTCTCGTTCTGATATTACTATTCTATTAAATACAAATTTACATTCTCAATATTCTTTGAGTGACAAAGTTGATTTTGGTGCAAAGGCTTTAAAATTCTTTTTTCTTTTTTTTTGGATTTTGTTTTTTTTCTTCCTTTTTATTTTATACACATAAGCACATCAACAGAACACATAAACACATTAACAAAAATAACCACATCATTTAAAAACAACATAGGAACAATAAGTTCCATCATATATGATACAGCAGTTCCGAATCGGTTTCTTTGCAGTTAGTGTTTTCATTTCTATACATTTCTATCTTGCATTTGTAATCTCGTTACTCATTATCCATTTTTATATACATTTCTTAATTTATTTATACTTAGCTACTTATGATCAGG